TACATAGTACCAAATAAAAAAAGGAACATCTCTCACCAGCTCCTGCTAGTATTTATCACTGGCTGATGTCAGGTTTTTTTTTTTTTTTTTTTTTTGTGGAACCGGGGATTGAACTCAGGCCCTAGCGCTTGCCAGGAAGCACTTATTCCACTGAGCCATCTTCCCGGCTCCCTTACGTCAGGTTTCTTACTTGTTCCTCTAGCATGTTTTGTGTCAGTACCACCGGCATCCTTTAAGCAAGCTGAGTTGCATCACAGACACCCAACCTGCACGTTTATCACTTACTTTAGAAATCCTTCTGACATACAATAGGTCAGAGTCAGTCTTCTTATTAAAGCCGCAGCTGCAAAGCCTATGCGCTCAGGTTTAAGTATTTTCTATAATAATTTTCTGCAGGGTCTAGAGTGTGCACGTCTGTACTGCTGCCAGCTTCTGTGCCCTCCAGAGAGGCCAGTCAAGCTCCTCTCCTGCAGGCGGGGCTGCTGCTCTCCTCCCGCGCCTCTCTCACCACCACGCGAGGGCATCACACCACGAGGGCACGGCCCACACCACAGTGACGGTTAGAGCAGGTGCCGAGGCGCAGATTAAACTTCCTCACTTCAGATGGAGGGAACAAGGGGCTCACTTAAGAGGTCACTGTTTTTGCAACACTCACAATAAAGGCTGTTTGGGCAAGAACAGGAAAGCTAAGGTCTGGGGGAGAGAGCTCTGCATGTCTCGGTGTCGCCTCACATATTTCTCAGAGGTAAGAAGGAAAACATACACAGGGGAGGACCTAGACATTGCCTTGGCTGGTTGATCCAGGTCAGCCTCACCAACGAGGGGCCTGGGATATCCTGTGCCTCCAGGCATGGTACTCAAAAGACACCACATAATGGCTGCAGTATTCCCAAAAGGGTCTACATCCCCTAATCTGGCCATTCTACAAAATGCCCCACATGCATCACTTTCATCAATGTCAAATATGTCCAATAGAAAAAAAAAAGTTAAAAGAGTTTTCCAGGTGTGGTGGTGCCTGCCTATGATCCCAGTATCGGAAGGCTGAGGCTGGAGGATCACATAGGTGAAGGCCAGCCTGGCCTACATAGTGAGCTCAAGACCAGGCTGAACTACATAGTAAGAATCTGTCTCAAAAAATAAATCTCTTTTTAATGTTCAAGATTTAAAAAGACTATCTGGTTATGGTGATAGATGCCTGTAATCTCAGCACTTGGGAGGCTGAGGCAGAATTACCATGAATTTGAGGCCAATCTTACTACCCAGTGAGTTCAAGGTCAGCTTGAGCTACCTAGTGAGACTGTCCCAAAAGAAAGAGAGAAAGAGAAAAAGTGAGAGATCTGTGAGAGAGATCTAAAAGGACTAAAGAAGTGCAATCTATTATCCCAAACTAGATCGTGTTAATGAAAAAAATGTTAAAATGATTAGTACAATCACATGAGTAAAGGCTATACGTTTTGATAACATTTTGCATTACTGTTAAATTACTTGGCCAGGAATGGAAAAGAATGTGTGTGGGCAATCACAGAGGGAGGGAGAGGAAGAGAAAGAAAAAATGATTAAGCTAATTTGGTGTGATGTTAAAAATCAGTGAATTTGGGGCCAGAGAGATATAGCTTAGTGACACAAGAATCTGCCTGGCAAGCACAAGGTCCTGAATTTGATCCCTGGTACCAACAACAACAACAACAAAAAAGGAAGACTTCCTATCTATTGGTATTCCTTTTATTACCAATACCGGCCTGTGCCCTGCT